GAAGGCCGCGGAAGCTGCATCAGACATTCAGCTTTTGAAAAACGTTCGCAAACGAGAACACTCACTTCTGGGTTTGCGGCATTCGGGAGCCGATTTGTTCGGGAGGCAAGCCGTTCGAGGACCAAGGTACCACTGTATAAAGGGGAAAAGCACACACAAACACATCAGGATAAAGTCTATCCATTATCAGCTGATATAAAAGAGAGCACATGTGTAATTCCCTTCAGTGAGTTGCCACTATGGTGAGATTGCTCCTCCTCCTCCTACCTTTTCATCGCAGTTTCAAAGCAGCCTTGAGATGGACAGCGACACTGGAATTATCTACGAACAACACCATTTGCTGAAAATGTATTTGTCTGACTCGTCACTTTCATTATGAGGTTCCTGTTCTGTAGCAGCTTGCATACACAGCGATGAAACAGATCCTCTACATACTTCATAGCTGCAATTGCACTGGAGTTCATCAAAAGTTCAGTTCGCCCCTGTTGAACTGAATAGGAATTGGGGTTTGCAGACTGTTAGCCCCCTGGCCTAGTCAACCTAAATAAAAACCAAGAAGATAGATTCACCCAGACATAGGAGCCAACTCCCAGGGGCCAAGGTCCCTTAGCTCCCTCCCATAAAATATTTGAAGGCGTCAGGCCCCCTAAAGTGGATGGGCATTGTCATTCAAAAGGTATATGTGCACCGCATCTTGTGACATATTATGTGGGGGCAGGGCTTACCTAGTCCCCCAATATTTTATTCAAGTTGGTACCCCTGAACCCAGGAGCTTGCAGCTTCCCTAGCCGCTGTCCATTCATGCCTCTTTAAGCAAACCTTTCTCATCAAACATTTCCTGGTCCACAAGGTATTGCGTCCCATTCCAAGACAACCTATGCACAAATTGCTTCCTTGAAATTCTCCACCCTATCTGTGAACAGAGGAAATGGGGGAGGTGGGCATAATTTCCCAAATAATAAGAAATTATCTATTTCCTAAAGGTGGAGCTCATTCCTAGCAGCAACATTATTGGCAGCTTGGCCACCATGCTACAGTTTTCACCAGGCCTTGGCCCGAGCGTCATCCCATTGCATCATTGTGGTGGACTGGGAGGGATTAAATGAAATATTTTCTTCTTGGGGGGGGGGATGTGTTTGAGAAATTTCAGCTCAAGTCCAGTAACAAGTACTTTAAAGTACAGTGGTACCTCAGGTTAAGTACTTAATTCGTTCTGGAGGTCCGTACTTAACCTGAAACTGTTCTTAACCTGAAGCACCACTTTAGCTAATGGGGCCTCCTGCTGCTGCCGTGCCGCCGGAGCCTGATTTCTGTTCTCATCCTGAAGCAAAGTTCTTAACCTGAAGCACTATTTCTGGGTTAGCGGAGTCTGTAACCTGAAGCGTATGTAACCTGAAATGTATGTAACCTGAGGTACCACTGTATAGGGCTTTATTTCTGAAAATAAATAAAATATAATATTTCTGAAAAACATCACTGGAATAGTTCTCAACGGTTTAAAGGTACTTGATGCTGTGACCCAATTCAATCCTACAATAGATAACCATTTTTATGCCATGTTGACTGAAATACCCATTTTTGCAAACAATTTCCACATATATATCCAAGCCAAACTGAATATGTCCCTCAACACCGTGTACAGCCTTCCTTTACTCACTACTTGATCGTCAGCTAAATATGAGAAGTGGCTATCAAAAAGTACCACGTTTCAAATGACACCAGATAGCAATTCTGTCTGTGATGACTCATCCACACATGTAATTCACCACCAGGGAATGAGTGACAGGGATGGGCCAAAGGAGAATGGGAGAAGAAGATGTCCTTCAAGTATAGAATTTTAATTATTTCTAAGCGTTTCTATATAACACCTTTCTACCAGGCCCGGATTCAAGATGGCTTAGAAGTTTTAAGAACATAGTTATCAAATGCTAAGTAATAAAAGCAAACTGGTTAAAAGCAAAAATCAAAATACATCAAAACGCAATTCAAACTGGCTTTAAGATACAGTTTGCCCCAAGGAATCAGCATTGTCTGCCCCATAGTTTACAAAGGCCTGTCTGAATAAGAAGGTGGAAAGAGAACATGGTCTATTGCCAGGTAGGGTGAAGAACATAGAAAAACAACTTTGCAGGTCAGTATATGGATTGTGATGAACGTGTATGTTTGAATCAGTTCTGGAAGTACTGAAAAACATCTAATCCACTTTCACCTTTAGCCACAGTCATCAACTGTTTATTGACAGAACTAGTGAAACAAGATCCATTCCCAAGATACAGAACCTCCCTGAGATCTACAGATGGAGGATGCAATATTCATCATCATCATCACCACTGCCACCACCGAAGACTGGAGAATGTTCTGGTGCAAACATGCCTTTTAAGCCATGGTCAAAGCTATTACAGTAATTTTAGGTTGTCACAAGCCTTTTGCAATATCCACACTTTATAAACCAGTTCCTCATTTGCATGCATAATCTTTTGACAACCCAAGCTAAGTTAAAATTAAAATTAGTCTCCAAAAAGGTGCTCTTTAAATATGTGGCGATAACAAAAGCTCCTAACATCTTTGAAAATAAAATTATATTTTATAGGGATAAGCACGTTGAGACCTTCGGTTTTACATGAAGGCATTGGCAGTTGGGTTATCTGGGGCATCTCTGCTGAGTCTCTGCTAATGTTTTCTTTATGATTTAAAAAGACACATTTAGCACTAAGGGATATTTAAAGCAAACTATAACACCACAGGGAAAATTAGTAGCATCCTCTAAAAGTAAACAATTTAGAGAAGATTTCTAGTCAATTTCAAACCCTTTCCTAATCATTCCAGTCTGTTTCATCATTCACGGTATATATTATAATGACAAGCTACGACATGAAAATGGCTTTTACAGATTAATTGTGCCTCACAGATGAAAACAAACATACTTTAGACCCAATTCAAGACCGTTAAGTGTACTCAAATCCATAGAAATCAATGTTCTTCAGCATGCATAGCTCTTCCTTGCGCATGGAGGGAGAAGAGGGGCAGAAGTCGAGATGTGCAAGTGGTAGAAATTCCTCTCTCACAATTGTTCAGCCAGATAACATCCACTGTTGTTTTTTAAAAAAATAATAATAAACTCTACACTGATTAGGATAAAAATGGGGTCAAAGACATCTGCCTCTCTGCCTCTTGTTTTTTAAATAAGGTATTACAGCCGTTTAAATGAGTGGCTAGCTAGTTCTTAAGGCCTCCTCCATGAACACTGAAAACTATATAGCAATGCCTTCTGAGAGTGATGGAATTTAATGATGTCCCCTCATTCTCAGTATGATTTGTACCAATAAAAACAAAGTTGCCTCCATGTCATGTTTCATCTTGTTTTCTGTACTAATCCATCCGAGAGTGAGGGGATATCATCAAGTCCCAGCAGTCCCAGAAGGCAGTGCTGTATTGTTTTCTACATATACAATACAGGAGTGGCAGAAGCCCTTTGCATTAGCTTTTCTGCCTGTTAGGTGTCTGTAATACTTTTAAGAAACAACAGCAAGCCAGCAAGACACAGGCAGGCTGTCCTTGGACCACCATGCAACAGAAATCCTTAAGTGATATTGGAATCTGGAAATTTCAAAATGGGCTTCAGTCCAATCCACATGTTGATTTGGGTGGATCAGGAGTCCAAGATGGAAATGCAGCACACTGAATTCCACTCCCAACCCTGTCTCTCATAGCAACAGAAAAACACACACAAGCTAGGGAAAGGGTGGTGGTGTGGTCTGAACCACTGAGCCTCTTGGGCTTGCCGATCGGAAGGTCAGCAGTTCGAATCCCTGTAATGGAGTGAGCTCCCGTTGCTCTGTTCCAGCTCCTGCCAACCTAGCAGTTCGAAAGCCCACCAGTGCAAGATAAATAGGTACTGCTGCAGCAGAATGGTAAACAGCGTTTTCATGTGCTCTGCTTTCCGTCATGGTGTTTCGTTGCACCAGAAGCGGTTTAGTCATGCTGGCCACATGACGTGGAAAGCTGTCTGTGGACAAATGGCAGCTCCCTTGGCCTGAAAGCGAGATGATTGCCACAACTCCATAGTCACCTTTGATTGGACCTAACACTTTACTTTACATACAAGCTAATCAAAACACTCAAAATACAGGATCAAGACTTTAGTGAGTCCAGATATATAAACTTAATTATGATGAACCAAAAGGAATGTAATGCATTTGTTCATGTGTGTGTAGGTCTCCTCCCCCAGCTCCTAAAAATGGCTAAAACCTGAATGCAATTTAAAGGGCCATTTAGTAATGATTAGGCCGTGCTCAATAGTTATTAGCAAACTTTTGAAGGAGGGAAGGAACATTCTCTGCAGGGTTTCTCTCTCCCTCCCTGAATAATTTGACAATATTTATGGCTTTGATTAAAATAGTGACTGCACCCAAAACACAGTGGAAGCATTACTAGATGTTTGCCTAATAGCCTAAAGCTAAGTTATTGATTGAAATACTAAAATCTACAGATGTTAGCCAATCTGTTATTTTCCTTCAGGGAATATTTAAGCCTGCAAAGGAACATTTGAGGATTCTAGCCTCAGTGTGTCATTCTTCTGTTCCCTTCCTCCCTCCCTCCCTCAACCCCACTCATTGTCCTCCATTTTGTTCCTGTAATGCAATTAATATTTACTCGCAAGAAAATTAAATTCAGCTCTGCTATTTGGTCGATGTGCCTTCCCAGAACTCTTTATCACAGGCTGAAAGAAACATGTTCTGTACCTATTAACTAACTCTATGGCTATGTGATAAGAATCTGTTTGCAACTGTTTTGCCCGTAACAATACTGAGAGCTAGAGTAGCAGCACGGAGCAGGGAAGCAGGAAAACCAGGATTTTAATCTTACCTTTGCTGTGAACTCCCTAGTTGACCCTAAGTAAACCACAGTCCAAGCCTCAATCTCTGTTACTAATCCACTGCTTCTCCCTAATCATACCCATGGCATATATTAAAAAAAAAAATTAAAAATTGTTTAGTAGCACCTTAGAGACCAACTAAGTTTGTTCTTGGTATAAGCTTTAGTGTGCATGCACACTAAAGCTTATACCAAGAACAAACTTAGTTGGTCTCTAAGGTGCTACTGAACAGTTTTTTAAATTTTTTAAAAATATATTTTGACTGCTTCAGCAGCAGTTACAACATGTGTAACACATGTGTTACATATCAACTACTGATTTGTAAGAGGGCCTCTCTCCTTATTCCATGACTGCTAAGCTTACTCAGGAAGCTTTGATGATGTGCTTTATAAAAAACTTTTTGATGAAGTCTGATAGAACATCGTTGACTGGATCGTCTCTATGTTTATAGACATACTCAGAGAACTCTGAAAGGTTAGAGAAGTTGCCCTTCTACATTTGCACTTCTTCAAATTCTATGATGCAGTTTTCCAACCAAAACACTACGAAAAGGAGAGAGAGAGAGAGAGTATTTTGGGAGAAGTCATACTGTTGTGCTTCAGGAGATCTTCTTTGTCTATGTGCTTGGTAACTGTATCTTTAACAATGCTTTCCACTAGCTTTCCCAGAAGAGATGTTATGCTAATCATCCTGTAATTTTGAAATTTCCCCTCAAATGTTATTTTAAAAAATGGTTCAACATTGGCCACATTCCAATCCTCAGGTATGGAAGCTCATCTTAGGAACAAGCTACATATTTTTGTTAGAAGATTCTAAATTTCACATGCTGAGTTCTCTCCCGTTCTTGACATCCTGATTTGGTGATTTGTTAGGGCTTTTTATTATTATTATTTAGACAATTAGGCACAGAATTTTATCTCATTTGCTTTAGTTCCTCAGTTTCCCTTTCGTTAAAAGTTAGTTCAAATGCAAAGAATTCATTCAGATTTTCAGCTGTCTCATTTCCCCTTTACCTCACTTCTGATCATCCAAAGATCCAACTGCTTCTCAAACTGATTTCCTGCTACTAATGTATCAAAATATATTTTTGTTGCTGGTCTTTTAGCAATGCATTTCTTGAAATCTCTTTTTTGCATCCCTTATTGTCTGCCTGTCATATCTTTTGCCAAAGTTTGTTTTCCTTTAGTTCTCCTTTGCACAAGACCTCAATTTTCTGAAGGAAGCCTTCATGCCTCTTCCTTACTTCTGCTTCTTAACCACATTAACAGCCTCCAAGTTGATGCAAGAATATACAGATTGTCCTTCTGGATCAAACTAGAAGGACATCTAGACCAGCATGCAATTTCCAATGCTAAGTAGTCAGGATGCTTGTAGAAATTCACATGCAGAGCATCTCAGTGATCACCATTTTTGCTCTCTCTCCCCCCCCCCCCCCGTTTCAGTATCCAACAATTAAAGGTGTACGGTTTCTGAACAAAGAGATCCAGGTACTTATCTTGGTACTGAAACCCACCAAAAACCACACTTCTTTATCATTTTCTTATGGGGTAAAAGCACCCTCACCTGGTCAGATTTATAACACACCATTTCCCACATCTTTCATCAGGAAGTGATCAGATGCATAGCTGCTCAAGTGGGAAAACACTAGAGATATTTTTTTAAGTGAATGAAAGAGGAAATATGCCATGCAATCACTTTCTCCCTGTAATAAGAACTGAATTCTGCTACATGTTTAAATAAACGTTGCTTCGTTATGTGACATGCTGGGGGTGGCAAAAGGTGACATTGCAAGAACATGGTGTATATTTGTGTTGATGCTCAAGAAGCAAAGGAGAAGTGAACAACCCAAAGGATCCAGATTCTAAGTATGATTACTTGGCAATAGGTTTAGCTGAAATCGGTGTTTTTGCTCTTGCAGTGACTTTCATTGCTAAAATGTGTTCCCCCCTTTTATTCCCATCAATCCCCCCTCCCTCCAGCACCAGCCTCTCATGTCCCAGCCCATAATATTCTGGAAGGACCCCTAATCCTCAATACTGGATTTTTAGAGGGTGCAGAAGGCTGCAATGGGGGACAGGATTAGAAAACAAACAAACAAACCCTGTTGTAAGAATGAAGTTCTACCTATGCATCTTAGGATTCAACCCAATGTTGTTTCTTTATCTTTTTTCAAAGTAATTTTTATTTGGTTTTACAAATTTAAAATTATATTCATACCACATCAAATCTACAGTTAAGAGATTCCTCTGAATTTCTGGACTTCGCACCATCCCTTCCATGGGTTCTGTTGTTACTTCTTTTCTGCTGCATCTTTTTCTCATAAACCAAGTTTTTTATAACTCCATTATATCCATAATTCTCATTACATTGCAAGTGTTATTACAGTCTTGCTAGTGTTTTCAGCTGCTTACAGTGGTTTTTCTAGGTAAATTATAATTTTCCCCACATTTCTTATTAAAGTTTTGGTCTTCCTGGTTTCTGAGCTTCCCATTCAATCTTGCCATTTTGGCATAGTCCAACAACTAAATTTGCCATTCTTCTCTGCTAGGGACTTTATCTTCTTTCCATCTCTGGGCTAACAGCATCAATGTTGTTTGTTTCTAAAGCAATGTTTAGGATCTGGCTGTCAGGCAAAAGACATCATGTAGCAGGATACCAGACGCCATCAATGCATATTTCAACTGCAGAAATAGCACATATTTTTAAATGTACCTTTTATGATAGGTGCAACCTGTTTTCTTTTTTCTTTTTTTTCTCTTGAGAAGAGAAAATAACACAGGATATCAAAGCAATGGATCTCAAATTTCAGCAGATATATGTGCCAGAAGTATTCAAGTACTCAAAGCCCTTCTCTGCATCACTTACCAGAAGACATTTTTAAGTTTTACTGCCCTCAGCAAATGGATAATGCCTGGCGTGTAACTGATTTATCAGATACTGCCTTTCTTTGATCGATACCGTCTAGCCAGGTCTTTAACAAAATTATGAAAATGAAAATAGTCTCTTCAATCAGGTGAAGAATGAATCCTCTCACAATTTCCGGTAACCTCTTTGTAACAGTGGTCACATGCCGCACCTTCTCTTCAAGACTGGACTTCAGTTTAAAGTATGCAAGATAATTATGGGATATCAGGTGCATATCCCTCCCCAACCCACCTTTTGCTTTTGTCCAGAGCTGCAGAAGTGAAATAATTCTCTCTTACAAAATGTACTTAAGCCCTTGTTTGGTTTGGGGAGGTCAATTATGGCACAATGCCAAAGTATTCATGTGGAAAATGACACTTGACAGAAGGGAAGAAAGGAACCGTGCTAGGGGAATGTGCCACAAGTATTGTTTCTTTGAGATGTTTTAGATCAGCCTTCAGCAAAAAATTCCCCAGAGCGGTTGATGTAAGAAAATATAAAGAGGCCGAGCAAATCATAAACATAGCAAGAACTAAAGGGCTGCAGAAACTTAAAAGCCAGATAAAATTAGTCAACAGAACTGAAATTATGTCTAAAAGGCTTGGGGGAAATACCGTATATTTCGCTCTATAAGATGCACCAGACCATAAGACGCACCTAGTTTTGGGAGGAGGAAAACAAGAAAAAAAATATTCTGAATCTCAGAAGCCAGAACAGCAAGAGGGATAGCTACGCAGTGAGAGCAGCAATCCCTCTTGCTGTTCTGGCTTCTGGGATAGCTGCGCAGCCTGCATTCACTCCATAAGACGCACACACATTTCCCCTTACTTTTTAGGAGGGAAAAAGTGAGTCTTATAGAGCAAAAAATACGGTAGATGGGTCTTTGCTGGCCGACAAAGATGGCACTAGGGAGATCACTGTGGGGAAAGCATTCCATAGGCAGGCCACCACCAATGAGATAGCCCTCCTCTCCTAGCCTTGTCTCTGACAGTGGGTGTCATGCCCAGAAGGTGGTCTACTGGAAATCAGGACACATGGATAGGAAAAAACAACTGAACAGGAATCACAACTGAACAGGTGTCTACCCTTACCAATTGTCAGTATGCTACTGGTAAGCTTGAAGAGCAATTGTTGTTGTTGTTTATTTATACCCCGCCCATCTGACTGGGTTTCCCCAGCCACTCTGGGCAGCTCCCAACATAATAATAATAATAATAATAATAATAATAATAAGTCTTCTAAAAGTCAGATAGTTGTTTATTTATTTGACATTTGATGGGAGGGCGTTTCACAGGGCGGGCGCCACTACCGAGAAGGCCCTCTGCCTGGTTCCCTGAAACCTCACTTCTCACAGTTAGGGAGCCACCAGAAGGCCCTTGGAGCTGGACCTCATTGTCCTGGCTGAACAATGGGGTTGGAGAGGCTCCTTCAGGTATACTGGGCCAAGGCTGTTTAGGACTTTAAAGGTCAGCACCAACACTTTGAATTGTGCTTGAAAGCAATCCTGTGCAGACATAAGCCCCAACTAGGTATAAGGAATCCCAATTCCAGAAGAATGCAGAGCAACAGTGGACACAACATCTCTTCCTATTTTTTGTGTTCCTATTTCTCTCTCTCCATGAATGGTGAGGTGGATTTCCTATCACTTTTGCAGGGAGAGGTGAATTTGACATTTTTTGGGAGGAAGTGAGGGCTTACCTGTATGGGGATTGCAAATGATTTGCTGAGGCCTGAAGTGGCAGAGAAACTCCATGTGTTAGCTTGTTGCCTCTTTTTAATTGATGGAATCTGAATAGGAATGGCCACTACCCCATGAGACGGCATTGTTTCTGTAGGAAATGTCAGTTCTCCTGTGCCTACCACCCCTCAAATGATAAATAAATAAATAAATAAATGATTCATCCCATCTCTAATAGGGTGAATGATTCATTCCATCTCTAAAACAGAGGAGTGCAGCTCTCTGTCATTCTTCTGACCACGTTCAGACATGTGTGGTCCCCTGAATAGGGGTAATATCACACTCATTGAATTCCCTCCCTTTAACCCCAGAATAGATAGATATTTTGCTGCCGGGAAGTTACTTTACTGCTGCCAGGAATCTCTTACTTCTTTGTTTCTTTAACCCACTTGAAGCATGACTTCTCAGATGTAGTCAGATGGGAGCAAAGTGGAAGCGGAACAAAGAGCTAGGAAGAAACAAGGCAATGTCAGCAACGAAGGCTGACTCAACAGGAGTGAGAAAGGGGTGGGAAGCTACAATGGGCCACTGTATTTGCCAAGACCTTGTCTTGTACTCATAATGTCAGAGGAAGGGCG